CGTTTCATCACAGATGTCGAACAGCTTAATAAATGGGAATTCATAAGAACTCGCTACAAAGCTCGCTACTTTCAGTTTTGACTTAAAAAAAAAAAATCCTATTTCTTTCAAATTAAAATTTTGATTTGACGTGATCAAATGGCAAAGAATCAATGCTGATTTTTAGGGCCGATTCATGTTCCACTGATGATCCGAATACGGATGTGGCCTCAGAGTTTCACAGCGACGGCCTCTCGGCGTTTGGCAAGATGGTCGTGCGAGAGCTAAATCGGCTCGGCATGCTCGTAGATCTTTCTCACGTCTCGGTGAAGACGATGAAGGACGCCCTCGCGGTGACAAAGGCACCGGTTATCTTCTCGCACAGCGCCGCTAAAGCGCTCTGCAATTCCTCGAGCAACGTCCCGGACGACGTACTACGGAATTTGGTAAGCAGGAGAAAATCACTCCGACAATTCTCCACTAAACGTATAAATAAATTTAACGTTAAATCAGCCTGGAATTTAACTTTAAATAATTTTGTTGAAGGAATCGATCTTCTTCCTAACTGAATGTTTGTTCATTTTGAACTTCTGTTGTAAAAAATAAGGAATTATTTCTCATCGCGACACACAACATTTGGCCGAGGCTCAATCGTGCGGCTTTTATCTTTGTTTTCTCTAGTCTCTCAACGGTGGTCTGGTTATGGTCAGTTTCGACAGCGCACATTTGAGCTGCGATGATAAGGCTACCATGTATGACATCATAGGTATGTAAGTAGCGCGGCGTGGAGTAAAACATGAGAAAGATCAAAACGTCGTAGTAAACATCAAAAATTCAGAGATAAAGAATGACCGAGATTCAACACGCTCCCGCGTATCTTTTTACAGCCCACATCAATCACATCAGACGAACAGCTGGCGTGAACCACGTGGGTCTCGGCGCGGGTTACGATGGAATTCTAAGGTAGCTAAAGACACGCCAGCGTTTTACCATATCGTACGCTAACGCACAATGACACTAATACATCTTCGAGAAAATTACGTAACACAATCACTTTTCGATTGCATATTCACAATTTGTCTCAATATTGATTTTATTTTACGTAAGTTAATTAAAATATTTTGCTACAAACTTGCGATAATTAATGATTATTTCGCTAATGCAGTTTTAATTCCTTATTGTAAAACTTTTGCAATCTTGTTCGCAATTTTTTCTCAAATCCGCTTCCGTCTACCATTTGTATTCATTAAATTCACATTTATTGTACATTTATTGCTTATATAAGCAAATAACAGTAACAAATTTAATATTTTAATGTTTAATGTAAAAAATAATTTCAAGATTTTTTTGATTACATAACATATTTTTATATAAAAGTACGAGTTTAATGGATTTAAAGGGCTAAAGCAAATACTTGCACTTATTCAGGCCACCGACAGAATTGCCGGACGTCTCCGGCTATCCTTTGCTGCTGGCCGAGTTGACCAGAGATCGCCGATGGTCCGCGACAGATATAAAGAAGCTGGTGGGCGGAAATTTGTTGCGCGTTCTCAAAGAAGTGGAAAATCACGCGGCAACCCTCTTGCACCAGTTTCCGACGGAGGAGTGGATTCCTCAGGATCAACTCATAGAGGACAACGCCTTTTGCAGATATCACGACGCGTAAGGGCGCCTACTATGCCTACTTCCGGTCTCGACGCTGTCATTTGGTTTCTACGAAGCATCGTTTCGTTAAAAAAAAAAAAATAGAGAAGAAGAAACACGTACTTTGAACTGTATCGTCTTTGTACCTGGAACTCCCCAATCGTTTTACATTTTTAATAAAATAGCGATAGACTCTCCGCAGTCTGTTCAAGCTCTCCCTTCTCTTTGTCCCACGCAGCCGACATGATTTTAATAATTTCCAAATAATTTCTTTTTTTTTAGGAGTCTCTTTGTTTGATTTTTGGATGCACAACAGATTTTAGGATTCGCCCGGCATGCAAATTAGTTCAAATTTTCTTTTCCCGGAAGAAATTCACAGGCGAAGTGTTCATCGGTATGTTTTTTTCAACAACTTTAACATAAATTAAGAATTTTCAACATGTACAATATAATTTGTACAATAGTGTTTGCAATACATTGCGCACATAAGACATAAATTGTTGCCCTATAATTTTTTCTCGCGCACTTTTCAGTTTTGAGTCTCGCTCGACGCGGTGACAAATACGGATCCGTGGATCGATGAGCATATTTTGAATCGCCGCACTATCGGTTCAGTTGCATCACACCCAATTGAGTTTATATCAAAATGGATGTTAACAGTTAAGTCAATTTACCTTGTCTTGAGTCTCCTCTCCGCGCGCACCGTCACATAATGTATGTTGAAGCAATTATTTAATCCCGCACACACACATTTGCAGATACGCATGTGCATGCGCGCACACGACGCCACGGGCTAACAGAGGCGGACAAGTCGCAATATGTCAATTACATCGTTTAATTTTTAACTCGAGGCTTATATTTCAATCGGGGACGGCGCCGTAAATAATCGGGCCTGATCTGCTATCTGAATCTCGTACAGCACTTTGAGGGTAACAAGTAAGTTGCGGAAGCTACGACGACGTTTGAATAATTCATACTTTGCGGGAGGTGATGCCGCGCCGAGATTATTAATGATACGTACTGCTCTTTGTACGCGCCCTTTCGCGCACACTCATATTAATAATTAATCGATGCAAAGTCATTGAACCTGAATAACTGTGCGAGCGGTTTTATATCGGGGATTATCGAATGTAGTACAATAGACACGGCCGCTGAAATATTTTCTAGCGCAGTCTCTTCGTTCAATTAAAATGTCACTTTCTTTGTTCGCCTCCGTCCTACTTCAAAGCGAACGTAATTAGCAGTTTTGCTGACAGGATAATTCTCTCGCATGGTGAAATCTCTGGCTGTTACAATTTAAGCACATTAAGCAAGATTCGTAACTTGTGAATTACGGTCAGACTCGAATAATATTTCAGATATAAATATTTCAGAAAATGAAAACTCGTACGTTTCGAATCGGCGGCTCGGTCTTAATCGAATCATAATTTCGAGATACATTTTGAAGTAACATAAAGAATTTTATGTTAATCGCGTATTCTTTAATTCTTAAACGCCAACTACTCAAGAAATCATTGCTCCAACTTTCTACAGATAAGAACGAATTAATTCTAATAAGATACTCCCGTCGTAGCGGCATTAGATGGTACATTTTTCAGAAATCATGAAAGTGTTACATTGACCACAAATGCGCATCGTGCTTTCGCTCTCATCGTTGCTAATGTGTTCATGTGGGTCACGTACACTGTAAAATATATCGCAATATTTTTGCCTTTTGAGTGCAACCAAATAAGCGCATCATCCGATTACTTTCTTTTCTAAAAACATTACTCAATAACGCAATCTTAAGCAGTCAATGAAGCGCAATAAACCACATTTTGGATTTTGTTGACAAAGAAGTAAGTTCGCTCGATTACATTTCATAATCGTTTTTTTTTTTGCTTATTTAATCGTTATTCTCACTCGATTACGTCAAATATTCGACAAAATGCTATTACCTGTCACGTCCTGACATTGACAAATTATTTTCTTAGGTATGCTTTTTTTTATTCAAGTAAGATGGATGTATGCGCATTTTTCTCAAAAAGAAGAAAAAAAGAAAACGCGATTAAAAGATAAACTATCGTTCTGGAATAAATAAAACTGATTCCATACGAAAAATACTATAAAAAGTAAGAGCATAAATTTTGACAAATTTATCACAAACACTACAACAATGCTTATCTATTCTTTCTGAAAATCTAATGTGAAACTACAAGTTTTAAAATGGAAAATATATAAGACATACGAAAGTTCTGCGGTCAATTATCACCGCATAACGCTTAAAATTTCTCTAACTTGAAGTCTATCTTAAATCTGCAACATTTTATACTTCGCAAACTTATCTGTACTTTGTTGCATCGCGATCACGATTAGTTAATAATATGTTTTTAGACGTGTGCGCTTTGAAATATCGAAGCCATCTGCAAGAAGATGCGAGACTACAGTCACGCAGTATCGCGCTTCGGCGAGCGTGTAATTTTTTATACACAGCCTGTTTCTTTTTCGCGGATCCCTTTTTCGGCGCGCAGCGACCGTCCACACGTGACGCTAAGGACGCGAAGGAACGAGCTGCTGCGGAGATGAGGATGCGCGTGCTGGTGCGACCCACGCCGAGGGGGAGCACACGGTCGGGTCAAAGAGGCCAAGATAAATTGCAATCTAATCCGCGAGAGTCAGCTGGGGCCAATTGCGATTCGTTGCGCGTCCGCAGGAAGAGAGGAGTGGCGCCCGTGCCTGGAGCGCGACGCGTCGTACACCTCCCGCCTTCGAGGCCTTGCGGCAAATGCTGACGGGCCGTAGAAGCCACGTCTCTTTAAAACGCGCCGCCGAGGAACGCGAAGATCTGCGACGTCGACCGATCGAGATCGAGATCTCGGAACGGCGCAACGATGTGCACTGTCATCGAGTGCCCGCGGTAAAAGCGGCTCTCGAGGTGATCGATGTTTTCTTTTGCGAGTAGCACGTCGAAACTGGAAGATCGAAATTATTTTAAATATCCGGAATCGCGAGCGTCACGCCCGATCGCGACAAATTTATTCACGCACGATGCGCGTGTTGATATATTATTCGTAAAGAAATCGAATGAGAATGAAAAGAGATGAAATACAAGGTGAATTCATGCGGAAATAATCGGGAACGTATATAATATAATAAGGCACTATTGATCGGACGAGTATCTTGATAAAATTTGGAAATTTTCTCTCTTTAATACGTACAATTTTTTTATTTCACCGCAATATAGTTGCCGAATAAAACAGACCCCACACTGCGCGCAGCAATCCGTTCCTGACGAATCGTGGCGCGGAAATGGTGGGGGATTCGAAGATTAGAGTCGCTCCTCCGCAAGCCGAAACTTCAGTTTAGTTTACTAACGTCCAGCGTCGCATCCTCCACCGTGGCCCGCACACGGAAACGCATGCGATCGCCGAAAAGCAGAAGGGAAGAAAGAGGGAAGAAGGGAAACAAAACCTATGCGAGTCGCAGAGTGATAACGTGAAGCGGCTGCGACAACACGGAGGACAAAAATCGCATATCAAGAAACGCGCGCTCGCGTTCTTGCACGTTTTCCTGCCGAAAAGTTTCTTTCGATTGCCGAAAACTTTCGTCGCACGAAGAGTGAGAAATTGGAGCACGCACGCGATATTTTAATATGCGCTTGTAAAATTTCGTCGAGGGAAACTGCAAATAGGTGAGTTTTTGACAATCGATACCTCATGCGAAATCATCGATAGAGATTTATTCTTCCGATACCACTTTTTTCACAAAAATGAAATGAGATATTTATTTCGACAAATTCATCCGAATTGTTCATATTGCATTAATTTATATTTTGCAATCTTGTAAATCTTTGAAATGAGATCAAAATTTATCGCAAAATTTTTTTACATTAAAATGAAGGATCTTGATGATGGATTTGTCCTCATAATTAGTAATAAAAACATTTGGTAAGGAAGTAAAGATCTGAAAAATATTTTTCTTCTTAGATGGACAGAGAAATATATTAAGAAGTATATTTACAATTTTTGGTAAGTTTATTTATAAATGTGAATGCGAGATGTACACACAATTTTCTTGGGAATAATGCACGTGGTACGTTAAACGTTTCCTGACGCACGCGATTATTCATTGAAAGGTCGAAGGTCCCTCCAGAAAATAACTACTCTACAAATAAACTGTTCTAATCTTGCACATATCTATAGCTGTCTATTGACATAATTAGCAATGTAATCGTACATGACGTATGTGCAATGATTTTTCTAAAACAATATGTAGATATGTCAGAAAACATTAATTAGAAATCTTGAAATTGTGTACACAAAAACATGAATGAATTATTAACAATTCTCAGAAGCTTATTGATAACAAAAGAAGTTTAAAAGATAAGTTCCCTTGTTTTACTTAACGCTATACTTCGATGAAAATATTTTTACGCATTTTCTTACTCTTTAGTTGAAAAACATTGTTTTGCATCTACGTGAAGTTTACATTTCTCGAAAGTGAAAGCACCATTTATAATAATGAAATGATACAAGATAAACTTTTTGATGCATTCCTGATGCTAAACCACAGTCGGTTATGCTCGCCTTGCGATTATTGTTTTTCGACGCACGTTCACTCAAAACAATAGTTCACCGACAATACTTAACAAGAATAATTCCTTGTTTCCTTAAATTCATGGAACTTTTTAATACTGCAGTTGAATGTTTTTCTTTTCTGACAAGAAAGTTCATTTAGTTATTTAAACTACAAAACATTGAATCTATCAAATAGGAATCAATTATATTTATTAAGAGAGAGCCGCATTTTTTGCATGTCACTTTTAATTATTTAAAATGAACCAACAATTAAATAATTTTAATAGTGACTTAAAATTTAATATTTTTAATACATAAAGTAAATTGTTGCTTTTTCTGTCACGTGCATAATCTTTTATTAGAAAGTTTCTGTACATATATATATACGAATTATGTTAATTGATTAATTTAAATTAGTGAAATAAAGAAGTTGGGGAAAATCTAATTGAAAAAACACTCACGTGCGCTGTAAGATTAATAGTGTACCTTCCACAAAAGCACTTTCCGACGTTGAATTATTTTCTGGCGAGATGCCAAAGAGAAACAGTCGGGGTGTATCTCTCTTAAAAGAAGTTAAATTTTGAATTTATACGATCTCTCTCTCTCTCTCTTTCGCTCTCTCTTTCTCGCGGGAAAAACCTTTTAACGAACGCAACGCCACTCTTTTAACATGTTCCATGTTTATGAATAGATTTTAAAACGGATGTTATACGCACACGACCGCCCCTCGTACATTTTTCGACACTCATACAAAGAGACTGTTCCTCACGAAACGAAGCGGTCTGCTTATATCTTCCACATCCTGCGGATCTTGATAAGATTCATGCGTAAAAACGTTCTTAAGACTGCATCGTCTCCCCAACGAATGAATATTTTGATACCACAACCAACAACAAGTCCCTCTGTTCTAAAATAGTTCTGTAATTTTAGAGTTCAAGATGTTAAAATATACTGAGGAAGCATTTCGATCACTTTATCGATGAGCAATAATTTAATTTGACTCTACAAAATCCGTATAAATTATTTTGCTTTATCATTTGAAAATTGCCGGCGAACGCATTCGTAATGCAAACGCTCTATTTCGCGTGTAATGAGCAACAAGTATATCTGTAACTGTGAACATTTTCGTTGCATAAGAGTAATTGTATCTGCAGTTATCCACTTCAACATTGTATCTTTAAGCGCCGGCCGTGTTAAATGATCGCGGATGACCACACGCAACCGTTGCACCACGATTCCTTCGCGCGAGATGCGTGGCGGCAGATAGCGATTAATAGACGCGAAATCGAAAGCATCGCGAGAGCAGGATCGGATTTAAACAGCGAGCGAGTTGCCTCTCCAGTGCTTTCCGTCAAGAAGGTGCAATGAACTACCGTTGACATTGCGCACCGCAAACTAGAAATCATTTAAACACGAGGACGATTGGTGGAGCTAATTGTGTGGTGAAAAATAATCGGAGATCGATGCATCCACGAATATATAATGCGATGCTGATAGAAAATTCGATATAAAATTCGATATACTTCTCTCGCGCTTTCGCCGTATAAAATTTTAAATTCGGAAAAATTTTGTTTCGATAAATTCATAAATATTCAATAACTCTTCGTCAAAATTAATCGATAAGTATTTTTTTTGTCTCTCCTCGCGGCGTACCGAAAATAGATACAACGTTGCGCGCGATAATAATATTAAGCTCGCCGCAAGTGTGTATGCACTTCGGCCGATCCTGAGCGAGAGTAGCTGCGTGCCGCACGCTTTCGTCGATCCGCCGGGATGCATCCGATTTAATAATGATCTCGCGATTTCACGAGGCAATTTCGCAGCACAAAAGGGAGTAAATCGCCACGTGATTAGACGAACGCGCGCTTTTCCGCGCGGCTTAACCCGCTAATCGAGGAGGATACTCTCGTTTTCAGGCCCCGACGTGGTCGCACGACGTAGAGAGTGCTCGCCGAGGTATGAAAATCCATAATGAAATCGTCTCAACTGCACCTTTTTTTACTGAATTTCGTTCCCCGCGGAAATTTTTATCCTCCAATTTTTCTTTCCCGACGAATCGTTCAGCGGCAAAATTCTAAATATAGAAATCGCATGTGTGGACGATGGCGTGTCTGATGGAAATGAAAGCGTTTTGAGAGACAATCGAGCTCGCGCGATTCGTTAACAAGTTAATGTACCGTGGCCGATCCTGAAAGACGGTAAATCATTATGAAAGCGACAGCATCCGCGCTGGCGAAGTCTTGATATCCGGTAAAAGTTCGACGCGTTCATCCATTTCTTTTTTCAACTCACGAAATTCGCACGTACGAAGCTGGGCAATTCGTCTTCGCCGCGCGATTTCGTGCTTTCGAGGCCGCCGTTGTTCTTCTCGGGAGAAGAATGCCTCGCTCCCGGTGAGTCCGCGATCACAAAGGAATCGCGGCGAAGGGAGAGAGAGAGAAAAAAAAAAGTAATGTCACTCGCGCGCGTCATTCTTTCCTCATTGAATGCAAAACAGATGACTCACGGCCCGCCGTCGCAGGGAGACGAACGTTATTAATAACAATTTCGTCCTTTTGCAGATACGCCGCTGCGAGAGACTGCGCCGGGAAGGACGAGACGAGGGCGAAGGAGACGCGAAGATGAGATATAAGGTGAGTCTCTTCTTCGCCCGCACCTACGTCCGTCATTCGCCGAACGGCATATAGAGATGAGCGTGTCGAGACGGGGATAGTCTCAAGATTTAAGTGCCTTTGTGCGCCGACAGTCTCGTCATTGAAATTCAGCTACCTATTCTTTAACCAATTTCATGGCAGTTTTTCCTCTTGCGTAATTGTCATGTTCTGCGATCATTACTTGGAATTATTTACTTCGAAAAATGTGTACGCAATTCTTGTGCAACGTAATTGCACAAGAATTGTACACATTTCTGCATATAGACAGATTCTTATCTCTTTTTTTTTTTTACATAATAATGTCAGATGATAAAAGTCGATAAAGTAATTATCTGAAGCACAAGTAATTATTATCGCACACGGAAGCTGCAAATCGGCTGGAAAGCGCGCAGCAAACGCCGAGGCAGAATCGTCCTCCGAATTGAAGATTGCGATTCTTGAAATTTGATGCAAATCCCGCGTGTTTGTACAATAGTCTCATTTCACATTCATGCCACGAGCATTGTCAGGAAGCGAACATCGCGCAATTGGAATTGATTTATTTAAATCAATTCTAATTGAATGTACTTTAAAGGATTATCCCGCTTGTCGCATTAGCGACGATAGCGGTTGAAATTAATTTATTCACAAATCCGCGCAACGCAGTTTGCGTCGCTCGGCTAGAAAAAGCGAAAGGATTCGCGCACGGAGTCGGGCGAAAGGGTTGAGTTTAAAACATTCAAAGCTCCACTTCCGAAAATAATTTTTTACCCTCGCGGCCATGAAGTTTCGACTTGCACGCCGATCAATCGATCAACCGTTGTTCTCTTCGGAATCAAATCCAATTAAGAGAAAAAAAAATAAAATGCCGCGCTCGATTTATACTTCGTTAGAAAGCGCAAACAGTGGAACATTGCTGAAACCAATTCTGGGCTTTTTGCTCGGCAGGAAAAGAGGTCAATCGCGTGCAGGTGAAGGATAATTAAAATAAGACCGGTTACTAACATCGGATATCACATTCTATTGGCCGAGACAGATAAAGCGACGCCATTTATGGTTAATATCGATTTTCTCCTTTTGCGGCGCGACTTCGCAGTTGCGGATTTTTGCGGATTTTTTTAAACCAGGTAGTTTCTCTCTCCCGTTAGAAATGATTCATAATTAATTTTTCCCGCGAAGTTTACCGCTTCTTGCTATTATGTAAAAAGTATCAAATATACCGGACGAGGATGAAGAGCTCGGCTCGGAGTTTTAACACTCCGAGCGCGCTTCTTGAGCAGATAGCCGACTCGTGAAATGCATAATCTTATCAATTTTTCCCTTCCGTCAGTCGCGGCAATCTGCTTCTTCCTCTAGTAGTCTATTTGCTTTCCTACTCTCTTTCATCTCGCTTGTAACCGCCTTCCCCGCTATCTCCCGACACGGGTCACGCATTAACCCCGGCGAGATGATCGATAGAACCGATTGTTCCTTCGATCAAAAAGTAGGCGAAAGAAGTGGAGCGTGCAGATCCGCGGGCGGGCGAGCTGGGAATCGCAGCGAGGAATTCGAGTCAATGGCAAGGAGGGCACTTGAAACGATTTCATTCCACGAGCCCTTTTCCGGAAGTCATTAAGCGACGCAGCGGTTACGCTCCGCGCACACCGACCGCAATATTGTCAAACGTTAATCGCTCGATACAATCGAGCTAATCGCAGAGACCCGTCGATCGAATAAATCGCCGGCCAAAAATCGTTAATTCACGGGCGTCCGCGAAACCTGAAGACTTTCGAAAGGATCCGTGAAACTAGAGTTTCGTGAAAGTGGCTTCGTAAACATTCGTGGAACCGAGCTTTCCTCGGCCATTCATTTGAACGAATCGCTTGTCTTCCGCGGAGCGAAATCCGCGTGGAAATAATATCAATCAATTAGCTGGGAGGAAGATGAAAGGGAGAAATAAAAGATCGCTCCTCGATTGCCGAGGCTAGAAGTCACTGACCATCTTCGCCGGCGTAATTGTATTATCAAGTAATAGCGCGATAATGGGTTTCAAGCACCAACAGCTTGGCGACACTTGTGACTCCCCACACTTCGCGCCGTTGAAATAGGATCCTCTCAATGGCGCACATTGAGGCGTTCCACTTGCGGAGCGCGCGAAGCACAGCAGGACACGATGGGCACAGTCTGTATATAGACTCGTGTGTTAGTCACTTTTGAAGGTAGCCTGCGGACAGCCTTCCCTCAACCTACATTTTGCGACATCGGTAATCGCTGAAAAATAATTTCGCCGCTCGTTAGATCCGCCATTATCCGTCGAATGAAAAAAAAAAACGGCGAATAATAATTATTGTGCCTTTTCAAGTGTCACCGAAGGACTCGGCCGGCTGATCCTTCGAGTACGAGTGACTCAGCGAGCGTTGATGCACGTAAGATTAGAATATTGCAATATTGTTATAATTTCTTCGAATTATTTGCACTTTTATAAACGATCTATAATTAACTTATCGCGAACGGCAAGATATCGGGGACATTTTTGATAACATTAATTTGAAATAAACGTGTCAGATGTATTTTTGCGAGATGAATGAAACGTTACGAACGAGACACATACACTCAAAAAAATGATCGTGCAATAATAGCTAAAATTTTCTAGGTGTAAAAAATTAACTAAAACAGATAAATGATTAGCAACTGTTGTGATATTGCATATGTAATTACTTAATCAGTTTAGATGACAGAAACAGAATATATATCTGTATTGTTTGTGAACTTTAAAAAGAAAGTTTCTCTAAGGCGCCTATCTATATAAGATCAATCACGTGTTAGATCATGCAATGAATAACATTTAGCAATGGTACCTAAATTTTTCAAAAGCTATTGCTAGAACATTACTGCTATAAATTCTATATGTGACAAACAATGTTTTCACAGATACGAAAAATAGTGATACATTCTTGTTGCGATATCTAGAAATCTAACTACATCAGCGAAATATTTTTTTGAGTGTATCGTCGCGGTGTATTATATATTTTTTTGCGCAAGGAAACGCTCTAGCAAAGATACATCGAGCACTCGCTTCTTCCTCCGCGAGTGCAAATAAGAATAAATGATTCGGTCTCATGAGAAACGTCATCTGTCTCGGCGGAGGAAATTCTCGACGACTTGCGGCGTGCCGGCCAAATTTCTAAGTCGAGCCGTTTATTTTCGAAGTGGCACAAATTAGATTTTTGGAAAACGCAATTAGTCTACGCGTAGGCCAGCGCGGCGCATCCGGCGAAATTTTGGAAGATTCTAATTATAGCAAACGGTCCGAACAATTTATTGTCCGCGCTGGCTTTGTATTGAAATCACGCGGGCTAAAGAGCGTCTGCAGGAAGAGAATAATAATTCCAGCGAGAGAAAGATTATTCGTTCCGCACAATGCAGTTATATATACGCGAAGGTCGTCGACAAATTATGTGACGCGTATAAGCAGTTTCTTCATATTCTTAGCAATTTTGTGCTAAAAATATTGGTTTGAATAAAGAACGTAATAACAGAGAGAGAATTTTCGATTACGATCCTTCGACGACGATCATTTTTCAAGGTGCTAAAGTGATCTGCCGCTTCTGAATGAGCAAGAGATGTCGGAATTGATTAAAGTCAAAAACAGCGTTCCGTCATTAAAATTGATCGAGGAACTTGTTCGGTGTGCATTGAATTTGCAACGCATTTGCATTACAAATGTTTAATATCCCGATTTAGTCGAGGTATGACAGAAACGTGCGGCATACGATATACAGATCGAACGCCCGTGCGTGCTCACGTGCCGCATGATGATCAGAGTCAATGTTTCCGATGACGTTTTCAGGTTCGTACGCGATGAGCCGGGGAGCCTTGACAATAAATAAATACTGTGCGGTGCATCGCCACGGTAATGCTTCAGGTTTACTCGTGTCGCGTCGCACCTGACGAGAATTGGTAATCGATCTAGAGTCTAAATCGATAAATTAAAGTAAACATTGGATATTTAGAACGCAAGACCAGAAGTACAAATTGCGCCGAGGGTATTAATAGACCGGCGTAAACGGCGTCGATAATTAATTGCTGCTAATGGCGTCGCTGAAATTTATACGGCGCGGACTCATTAGTTGCCTGATAAGCTTATCAGCTATGTGTACAGTGGTCAAAAATACGCGATCATGTCGAAAATAGCGATAGATCAAAGCTGTGTTCCAAAACAATGAAACGTCAGTAATCATTATGAAAGGCAAATATAGTGATTTATTATGCGAACGTCGCATTATTCATGCGGATTGGACAGATAGAATTCGCTAAGAGACTATTTGTCTTATCTTGAAATTTCAGGCACGAAAAGTTTTACACTGAAAAACATAAATCTCATTTCTCGAATTTAGAGAAATTAATAAAGTTATTTTATTATCAATTTTATAAATGAATCTTTTCATGAACGAAGTCAGCATTTCTCGGAAGAAAAACCATTTTACTCGTAAATGGTTAACCTTTTACTTTGCAATTTTTTCCTGCTCGAGTAAAAGCCTATTGAAATATAAATACAGGAAGGAAATTGAATTATGCGCGTTAAGCGCAACTCGGCGGCCTTGATTATTTATCGCGTGATTCGCCGTCGATCGCGGAGGAATCCATCAACGTGACGTAAGGAATTAATTAATTAATGCGCAATGTTTTACGACGAAACAAAGAGGCGTTTCGTAGACGCGAACGTGGTCTCGTCGATAGATGCAAATGGATTTGCTGTTATCGACGATAATGGCGAGATCGGCCGTTGTTCGTTGATCGATTTCATTTAGTAGCGAGTCGGGAAAAGGAATTCCTGTTCGTCGCGAACGTCCGCGAACGCGATCCAATTCAACGAGTAGTTTCTCGATCGCAATCGTAAATTAAAATTCCACGAGTCCGCAGTGACGTTCAATGTCAGACGCGCCGCTCGAATCGGAAGCGCTCGACTCCGGCCTTTGACTCGACGTTGAACGGTGAAATCCTACGGCGCGCAAGGACGACGCTGCATCGGAAGCGACGTCGGATGGGTAATAATTGCCGTGCGAGGACGTGCGATCGGAAGCGAATCAGTGAGGACGATCGCCGTCTCGCGAGTGGCATCAAACGCGAAAGATTATCGGCGATTAAACGTCTACGATCGCCGAAATAAGTGTCATTTTCAATCACTCCGCTGTGCATAATTCACGTGAAGTATAATAATTATCGTTGATTGCCGTAAACGCGAGGTGCGCATTTACTGCATCGCAAAATGATTAATAATCAATGCTTTCATTTCGTAACGCGATAAACTGACATACATTTATTATGATTGGCATCAATCAACTTCGAATTGTGAGTACAAACGATACTGTTCTCCAATTTGCACTCGGATATTCGACAGATAAAGAAAGAAGAAAGAAACTTGATTGGAATAGAGAACAACTTGATTGTGCTATCGTAGCGCAAAGAACTCTCTCTCTCTCTTTCTCTCTGTTTGATTAAACGAAGGGAGTAGCAGATACACGATTGCGCAATTCGAGTTTACACGACAGATGGGGAGAAGAAGAGACGAGATGAAAAAGAGTCGGCGCGTTCGAGTAGTTCCTTGCATATAATGGCAACATTGTCGGACGTTGATTTGCGTCTACATCGTGCGCAGAATATCGGATTCCCGTCTCTCGGCGAAGACGGCAATGTAACTCTCGGAGGGCGATTTTGCCAGCGTTAATTGGCGTCAGTCAATTTTTTCTAAACTACTTATAATTATACACAAAAATGTTCTTACGTTCTATCGCTAAAATACGCTGCGTTCGTAGCTGATGTACTTTTTTTTCATAAATATAACATATCGAAAGTTTTTAAACAACGCATCGCGGTGCGATGCAATTAGATGAACATCCGAGTGTCCTTAGAATTGAATTGTGAAGGACAACAGTTCCGAGTTCTGCAAAATCGTCCTTCCCCGTCCGTTTTGCTGTAATCGCAGAGAGATTGCCTCGCGATTCGGATCGAGGTGTCGTCCGCGGTAGCGTTAAACCGCATGATCGATACGCTCACCTTGCCCCAGAATCATTTCAGGCATTATTCTCCTCGTGTCCAATATCCTGTCCTATTTTGACGAACGATCCGCGTCCTGTTAGATCGAAGTCCGCCGCTATTCGCAGCAGTGACGCGAAAAATAAATGAGCGAACGCGAGAGCTTACATAAGATTCCGGCCAGATGTGGTCGGAGCCGTCCGTTCAAGCGTAAACGACACAAGAGCGCTTTTATTTCGGACGCGCGCTCGCTAAAATCGATGATCTATCAACACTCCCCAATTCTCAAGTGCACTCCACTTATCTAACGCCGGCGAGAAAACTGTATTCGCTTTTGAAAACTAGAGCGCAGCAGAGTCGCTTACACTCAAAAAAATGATCTTGCAATAATAGCTAAAATTTTCTAGGTGTAAAAAATTAACTAAAACAGATAAATGATTAGCAACTGTTGTGATATTGCATATGTAATTACTTAATCAGTTTAGATGACAGAAACAGAATATATATCTGTATTGTTTGTGAACTTTAAAAAGAAAGTTTCTCTAAAGCGCCTATCTATATAAGATCAATCACGTGTTAGATCATGCAATGAATAACATTTAGCAATGGTACCTAAATTTTTCAGAAGCTATTGCTAGAACATTACTGCTATAAATTCTATATGTGACAAACAATGTTTTCACAGATACGAAAAATAGCGATACATTCTTGTTGCGATATCTAGAAATCTAACTACATCAGCGAAATATTTTTTTGAATGTAGCGCAAGCTGCGAGAATCAAATCCGCTCTCGCTTTCGCAGACGAATACAATGCGGAAAATTTGTTCCTTCTATTTTTATCCTTCTCGCTGGATATTTTTTCCTCCGACCATCTTTCCCGATATGATTCAGGAAGGTTGAGTTAATTGTTCTCGGCGAATCGCTCTCGCAGAATCTCCACTCCAAGGTCTGCCATTATAATTTACAAGATCTACTTGGCGCGCTCGGATGCATTTTAATCTCTCGCGTTTTCAAGGCAGAAGACAAGTCCGAAGATACATATTGCTTCTTTGTCGTATTAAAGTAGTATCTTCGACGGTGCATTAACCATCTTGCAGCTTGAGTATGACGGGCGTTCTTCACGCTCGTCATTATGAATGTCATTAAGAAAAGAGACATAATGACACATAATGTACGATGCATCATCGCTTCTATTTTGCAGGTGAACGATCCGGAGGATAATGAGCGGGACGCGGAGGAGAACGCGAAGGGGAACTCCGACGTTTCATGGTAATTTTCTTTCCGTCTTTCTACTCTTTCCAAAGACCCCAAGACGAAACATTTCGCGGAGACGATCGTCGTTTATTTACATCTCTTTCCCTTTCCCTCTCCTGCCATTTGCTTGATAATACAGTTGTGCTGACAATGACAGTAACATGTAGCACGTTTAGAAACACAAAAGATTAAATTTACAATAAATCAAATTCTCTTCTTCTTGTCGAACGGAAACCGTTTGTTAAATTCAATCGAAACCGTTTTTAAACACGAATATGAAATAAGTTGCTCAATCGCGCGCTTAAAAATCGCGAGTCAGGCATTTGCGCAACTTGGCCGTAAGTTTTCGAACACCGCCGGAATCCGCCTGTTGCTTTTCGACAGGAATTACAGTCACGAGAAGAAGTCAAGCGGCCTGGAGATGAGGCTCGTGATCGTCGTCGGGCTGCTGGCGGTGACCGTCATTGCTCTCATCGTAGCATTGACCTTGCAAATGGCGGTTTTCCGCAGAGAGGAGTACAAGACGATGTGTCAGAGCGAGGAATGCATCAAGACAGGTAAGACCACAAATGGCCTTTTTATTTAAACGAGGCTAATTTATACATCGCGAGGCGATATGTTGCGAATAAATCATCACTTCGTAGAGTTTTGTTATTTTTAGAATTAAAATTTGCAATTTATTATTTCGAATCGCGAGAGAAAATACCGAGACGCGTCGTTTCCGCAATTTTAATGCGAGCTTCGCCCTCAACAATTCGAAGATAAATTTATTTGCATTGCAGCGGCGCGAGTTATAAGCGCGATGAACAAATCCATGGACCCTTGCAAGGATTTCTACAGCTTCGCCTGCGGCGGCTGGATCAGCAAGCATCCGATTCCTCAAAGTCAGAGCTTCTGGGATCAGCTGAGCTTGCTGAGGGAGGAGCTTCTCAAGAATTTAAGGATTCTGCTCGAAGAACCGGACAAGGAAGACGATCTCAAACCGGTGAAACTGGCGAGATCCCTTTACAGGACCTGCATGGATATAGGTGAGTAGTAAAGGATTAAAGTAGGATCAAGCGAACGACATGACTGAACCGTTGGAGCTTTAAATTTCTCAGCCGTGCTGAAATCATTCGGGAAGAAGGATTTTAATGTCAAAGGAAAGAAACAGCAATTATTTTTCATGCAAAACAACGACTCAACCGTTAACGGAACTCCGATAATTCATTCGCGTTAACGATAAAATTATCGAGTGTCGCTCTTTCGCGCGGAGATGGAATCCGCGTAACGGCGGATTTGCATAATGCGAAAGGATAATTTAACAATGCACCGCCGCTCGCATTGCAACGTATCGTTTACCGTGGCGTAAGTAATAGCATAATAAGGCAAATTGACGATTCTATTATCGCGAAGGAGTAGCCGGAACTCGTGCCACCGAGCGGGATTGCTACGTGATTGCGATTATGAAACGGGAAGATTAAGCGTGTAAATGATTTAAATAGAAGTAGCATCGCGATAGCGTTAAGTCCTTTCGAAGAACAATTCACACTTCGCGGAATGAATTACGCGGAATGGTATTCATATTGGATTATAAAACATTTATGTCTCCGCTGTCTCGGCAATAAAATGCGTTTCCGGAATCTCGAATTGCAGCGAGCGTCGAGGCATTAGGACTGGAACCGATCTTCGAGGTGCTCGGTAAACTAGGATTACCGAAGGACCCGCCGATGCAGGACGAAATACCCTCCCTTGATATAGCGAGATTAGCCGGCATCGGGCAGAGAACGCTGGGCTTGAATCTCTTGATTAATTTTTACATCAGCGAGGACATTAAGGACACCACGAAGAACCGGATGATGGTGAGAACGAATTTGATTGTGATAAACTTCAGAGATTAAAAGAACACGATTGAACAAATTGTCGAAAAGGATATTCCTTTCAATTTTTGGAAGGATTTTGCTTTTTTTTTTCATGCGAGAAGCAAAAGTATAACTTGCATTGTAATGCAGATGTCACATTTTATGACAATTTATTAAAAAAGGAGCTCCTTTTAGATAGAGCAAGTGTCCCCCGGATTTAGCGAGCGCTACTTATTGGATCCGCCGCGATTTCAATCGGAATTGACGGAATACAGAAGGTACATAAAGTCCATGGTCGAACTCGCTGGAGCTGGCAACATGAGCGCGAATTATGCTAACGAGATCTTAGAGTTCAGCACGAAAATCGCTCAGGTAAGTCGTCGCGTTACATCTTGCGTAATTTTAATCCTCACGCGTTTGACGCTTAATTAAACCTGTCTGTGTAATAATTTCAACACAACGTTCGCAAGCTATTCATTCAGCCTATCTTTCTGTAATTTATCGATCGATAATTTTTCACCTACGATTACTCAAACTTGCAATGTGAGGATAATCGTTTCAGGAGCGCGTTTAATTCTTTTGAAATCCATCCAGATCATGGCGACACCTGAAGAACGGCGCAGCTCGGATCATCTCCTTCACGACGTGACCATCGACGATCTGCAAAAAATCACCGACCTGCACGCGCAGCAGGTAAAGCGATTAACGCTCTATTCACTTTTGCACGAGTGTTTACGCGTGTCACGTAAAATAAACGATCATTCATGTTAATACGATGCCGATAAAGCTCATTAGAAATTCAAATTTATATGGAAAACAAGATCTCGTTTGCACAAAAACCTTTAAATAAATTAAAGCAATATTGAAAAATTACAATTATTATTTGTTAAACTTTAAAAAACTTGCAATAATTTTCGCATAAATTTTGTTTCTTCACACAGATGCATCTCGTGATTCGAATAGATTGCCAATAATGAATCGCTCTTAACACCTAATTAAACCCGCGAAATGTTGTTTCAGTGGAATTGGACGAGGTATCTGGAAGGTGTATTCGAGAACACGAATGTCACGATAAATCCGGCCGTAGATCGCGTTCTCGTGATAGATCTGAAGTATTTGCAGAAATTACCGCTGCTGCTGTCCGTCACGCCACCCGCAACGATAGGTACGTTTCTAATTTCCGCACCCTCGTCAAAGCAGACGCGATTGCCACTCGGCGTAATGCACACTCACTCAAATTACATGGCACCTCGTTGCTTTTGCTTCCATTACGCCCGTTTGCGTCTGCTGCGTACATTCGTATAACGCGGAAGCATCCCCTTTGCGCCCGCACATTCAATTGACGGCCATAAACATTTTTATTAATCTCTGCCATTAAGTAATTAGCGGTAATAGTAATAATAACAGAGTAATGGATAATAAGCCGGCGGCTCTCTCGTCGACGGCTTTGGACGAGGTGGAAAAAAGGCGTCCAGCGCTTTTGTACAAAATAGAATCGTGAAGCGCTCGTCCTTAAATATTCAAGACGCGAAAAGCAACGTCGCGGGAAAAGTGTTTTACAATTTAATTCGCGGCGCGCAGTAGCGAGTGTGGAAACATTCACTCAAAAAAATATTTCACTGATGTAGTTAGATTTCTAGATATCGCAACAAGAATGTATCGCTATTTTTCGTATCTGTGAAAACATTGTTTGTCACATATAGAATTTATAGCAGTAATGTTCTAGCAATAGCTTCTGAAAAATTTAGGTACCATTGCTAAATGTTATTCATTGCATGATCTAACACGTGATTGATCTTATATAGATAGGCGCTTTAAAGAAACTTTCTTTTTAAAGTTCACAAACAATACAGATATATATTCTGTTTTTGTCATCTAAACTGATTAAGTAATTACATATGCAATATCACAACAGTTGCTAATCATTTATCTGTTTTAGTTAATTTTTTACACCTAGAAAATTGTAGCTATTATTGCTAGATCATTTTTTTGAGTGTTCGAGAGGCCGCAGAGGTCGAAGAAGCTATCGGAGCTTCATGTTCGCGGCGGAAACCACGTGGCTGCAATTGTTTCTTCGCCAATAACGCCCAGCTCTATTTTTCAGTCCGATTCGTTTGGTGGACCGTGTACTCGACCGTTGCACCGTTGACGTTGCAAAAGTTCCGCGATCTCGGCTTTCAGTTCTCGCAGAAGGTCTTCGGGCTGAAGGAGAAGACGCCGCGCTGGAAAGGATGCACCGGGAACGCGAACGCCAACTTCGGCATGGCGCTCAGCTACGTTTACGCGCAGAAACACTTCAGCGAGCAGGCGCGGGAAAAGGTGTTTGCGCTACAGCTATTCAATACGAAACTTGTGTCTTACGCGTCGTTAGCGTTTTCTCAACGCAGAAAAGCAACGTGAGAATTAATTATTGACTGCGATCGACAGGCATTGGAGATGTTGCTGGATATCAGGGCGGCATTCGACGAGATGGTCACCGAGCTGGATTGGATGGACGTCGACACGAGGGCGCGAGCCCATAAAAAGCTGCACGCGATGAGACCGTTCGTAGGATTTCCCGACTGGATCACGGATCCCAAAGAGCTGGACAAATTCTACGAAGGAGTAAGACACACACACTCTCTCTCTCTCTCTCTCTCTCTCTCTCGAGAATATAATTCACATACAACTTTAATCTGTGCAACGCCCCGGTGTGTATTCAGGTGGAGGTGATCGACGGGAAGTTATTCGCGACTTTCCTGAAGCTGACCGACTTGGCGATGAAAAAGAGCTTCAACAATTTGCGCGAGAAGCCCGATAGAAGCAGGTGGATATCGACAGGCACGACGGTAAACGCGTTTTATAGCGCCATATTGAATTCAGTCAGTAAGTATCGCAATATCAGTTTCTTAATTGGCACAGTTGTTCGTCTATCATCGTCGTCTCACAGTGTTTAATTTAGTTCTTGAAATAATGAGGCAAAGTTTTAAGAAGAGATGTGGTTTCAGCTTTTCCAGCTGGTATCCTGCATCCTCCTTTTTACGGGAACGGATTGGAGTGCGTATATGTTTTACGAAATTTTCACAAACTCATATTAGATTCGGCATGCAATCGCGTGGCATTTTCTTCGTAATAGAGATAATTCTTTATATATTGCTTTATATGTGGCGCAATACTAATAAATGCAATTAAAAATGTAAAATTGCGTAGCCACTGGATGGTAATAATTAATAATTGACACATTTCAATTTAAAATACAATCTAGATGTATTCTGAAGCGATATGAGCTCGTGAAAATAAAACGACACTTCTCCGCGCGACCGAGGTTGTCTTGATAAGCCGCTAAGCTCTAACGTTGCGCGTTGCAGGTCCATTAATTACGGCGCTATGGGGGCAATTATGGGCCACGAGCTTACGCACGGCTTCGACGATCAAGGTGCGTGATCAGCGATGCAACGCGCGTTGCGCAATGCACCGCCGAACCGACCACTCTATCTTTACTTCTTTGACACTGAAATGCCCGCATATTCATAGTGATATCTAGAATTATGCGATTTTCTGTGCCAGGACGCAGGTACGACGAGAACGGTAATCTGCGGCAGTGGTGGAGCGACGAGACGTTGCGGCATTATCATGAAAAGGTGCAGTGTATGATCGAGCAGTACAGCAGTTATCATCTACCGGAACTGGGCGATAATTTCACGGTAAGGCATCGGGGTGGCGAAGAAGGCCCCGTTGCTCGTTGAAGGTATCGAGAAAAGCGTGTCAAGGTGCTTCTCGCTCGCGCGCTCAATCATTCGACTAATTTTCAGGTAAACGGCATTAATACTCAGGGTGAAAACATCGCCGACAATGGCGGCATTAGGGAAGCGTACAGGGCGTATCAGAGGCTGATTGCGCGCAACCCTTATCAGCAAGCTCTGCCTGGCCTCGTCGATTATAGCAATGAACAGTTGTTCTTCTTGGGTTTTGCTCAGGTAAATAAATTTTTCACCGAGATAATAGAATTCGATCTTTAGCTTTAAAACAATAAAAATTTTAATACTTGCAAAACAGACGATACAATAGCCTTTCACTGAAAATATACACTTTGCTATCTTAGTTCTAATCAGGATGTATTTGCAATTGGCAATCAATATAAAATTCTGGAAAGAACTGAATTTTCTCATTCAATAAGAAATCTCAGTTAACTTGAATTATAAATTAGAAATCAAGTTAGTTGGAGAAATTACTTCTAAAGAGACATCTATTGATGGAACGCGAATAAAAAATTTCTCACGAAGAAGATAAATTAACATGAATTTAATGCTAGTTTGACAAGAATAAAATTGAGGATGAAAATGAAGATTTTACTAAAGTGCGCATGTGAAGCTTTGCAAGAGTCATAAAAATCTTAACCTTTTCTAAGGTGTGGTGCGGCAATTACACGAATGGAGCGCTGAAGTCAAAGATAATAGAGGGCGTGCACGCGCCGAATCACTTCCGAGTGATCGGTACACTGTCGAACAACGCGGAGTTCGCGAAGGCGTGGAAGTGTCCGCTCGGCAGTCCAATGAACCCACCGCACAAATGTATCTTGTGGTAGATATTTCTCGCATTTCGAACAGTAAAAAAAAAACATGAAACGGCGCCGGAGTGTTATCTTGTTCAGACTTAATCTTTACTCGTGACACAGTAGGCGTTGGTGCAGTGATAATTCTAAGAAATTGTAAATAGACTGATTTACAATTATAGGAACTAGCGAGTAATTTATTACACACTTAATAAGTGCTACTCTTAATTTTAAGCTTATGATGTAAATATCACACGGAAGAAGAGAATAATGACTTTTATAAAAAGACCTTTCAATTGAATCCTAATTTATTTCATCAATTTCTTTTTTTTCTTTTTCGGCACAATTCCTTCTCCTTTCACTTTGCTTCTCGTCTTTTTAAGCGGAGCGTCTGTCATGGGTGACTTTATTTTGTGCCTCTTGTGTGGGAGAGATGATTCCTCAACTTTGTCAGTTTTTTTTATCTTCTTTGCTGGTAAAGTCGCTTGCGGTGCAGAACCGTTTTCTTTTCGTTTTTTCGGAGGGCTTGTCTCAGGCGGTAGTAGCTTCTTCTTTTTCTTTGATTTAGCGACTTCTTCTACGTCCAACGATCTGTTTCTCTTCTTCTTTTGAACAACCTCTTTCGATTTTAAAATTTTCTTTTTCGAATTCTGAACATCGTCTTCAGTATCTTCTATAGCTCTCTTTTTTTTATGCTTCGTTTTTGATGCCTTTACCTTGGGATTTGTAATGCCTATGACTTCTAATTCGTCTTCATTTTCAATAATAACCTCTTGCCTCAACCTGACCTTGCTTTTCTTTATTTCTTCTTCATTTTCTTCTTCCTCGTCCAACTTCAATTCTTTTTCGGGCTTTAAATCTTTGCAGACTTCTGCCAGAGAAAGACAAGTGATTCTAGTACCACAATTAACGGCTTTCAGCATATTTAAGCCATGCGTATCGTATCTCCAAAGTTTTATTTCTCCGGAACTGGAAGCGCTAACTAACAGATCATTCATGTGCGAGATGCACTTCACTCTCATATTATGCGCCTTCGTATTCACCGTATGTTCCGAGGATTTCAAATCGTAAAATACGATCTTGCCGTTTTCGAAGCCAACCGCAATCAAGTCCTCTGTTAAAAATTCCACGCAAACAACTTTCGAGTCAAAAACAAGCTTGTTATCTATGCCAGCTGTTTCTACAGAATACATATATATGTTCTGATTAACAGCTAATAGATACTTTTCGCCGCTTGGACTCCATTTGACGATTGTTATCCACTTAGCTTCATTCTTTAACGTTGGCACTAAATTAATAGCATAAGCTTGCCTGCCTTTGATCAGATTCCATGTCCTAAGCGTCCCGTCTTCCCCGGTAGACAATGCTAACTTCCCTGATGGATGAATCGCTAGAGTATTGACAGCTGAACCTTTGTGTGCAGTTGGCCAGAGTTTCTCCATTTGCCAATTGCCGCAGCGAATAGCGCCTATACTTCCATCCTTACTGCACGTGAACAGATGCGAGCCTTCTGGAGTGAACGTAACACAATTGATTGTATCTGTAAAAGGAGGACTATTAGTCAAGAACATTGGCATTTAACAAAAATTTATATTATTATATTAAATGCAAGCATAGGTTCATTTACGTACCTGTATGATGCATCAATTTGCCAGATTCTCTCCTTTGACGCATATCATATAGACACACTGTTTCATCTGCACCGGCAGAAGCTAGGTAGCGTTTATTACTGGCAACACTGCGTACACTTGCAAGATGACTGTGAGTCGCAAAGCTCTTCTCTACTTGGTACTCCTAAAAATAGAAGAAGATTTGGTTAGAAAAATAGTTCAAAGGGTTAATTTTAAAGTTTCATAAATCAAATGGTTGAAGATAAATCTTCCTTTTCTAACCACAAAATATAAGTGTATTGATATCTCTTATGTCTGATAATATAAGTATTATACATATATTTTTCACAAGGCGATAATCATATAAATAATAAATAATAAATATGACTATTAAAAATGCATTAAAAATGCGTAATAATTGACAACAATGATGAATAACCTATAATTCAATTTATGCAATAAGGTATACTTACATTTACAATGTTTTGCACTTTATAGCCGAGCAGATATTGCTCATACGTTCCCACTATGATTTCGAACGGATTCGACAAACTCGGATACATCTTTCTTAATTTTTTTCGTCACATCCACCGGTACAGTATATATTCACACGTGTATGCATAACACGATGCACGATCTATCCAACTCCATTCGAGACATTTTCAGTGGCACCATTTCTATAGCCATTAGAACGCCCTATCGCGTCCAACTGTTTACAGTACGTTACCGTTAGCTAATAACAGAAAAATCAACTGGAACAAAAAATGAGATATTTGTAAAAAATAAATATATTTTTTGAATATGATAAAAAATTCCGAACAGTAAACAATAAACGTTTCTTAACTAGAACATAGCTGTGGCTGTAAATAATAAACATTTAGATATCTCATCTATGTTTACTTGTGTAATTTTATAAAAATTTGTTATTAATTTTTTAATTTGTTTAATTATTTTCCACTCTCGCACTTATTATTGCTATCGCGCGTGTGATATGATAACATTTACGACACCAAATATTTATGAAATAAGATAAGATACTTCATGTTTACAAGTACAATTCGATATACGTATACTAGACGCCAATAATGTTTTGCACTTCTGCTTTGAAAGATTTCGATTGTATAAGATAGATATTTATGTATCACTTGGAATTATGTTTGATAATTTAACATTTGGGTGTGGTAGCATGTTTGAGAAATTAAATTAGAATATTAACAATAGGAAACCTTGAACAAGAAGTAAATTAATCGATGAATTTGTAGTTATAGACATTTTACAAAACCAATGTTCACGATGCTAGAATTCGGTCCGAGATTTCGGGGAAAGGATTGACCAATCGCATTGGTCAATTGACCGAATTGTTCAAATGTGATTTGCTTGTTCTCATAAGAACATACGGCCGCATTCATCACAAGGCGCATTAAACGCAAGCTGGGGCCTCATTTTAAAACTTTACTCCTCACAAATAACAATATAAAAAACAACCTAGTTATAGTTGCAAAATATAATACTTACTTTTAAATATTAAATTCATAGTATAAAAACTAGAGGCCACTGAAAAATTTGTAATTGTTTATTAAATTTCGCCTTTTTGCATCATGTAATGCATGTCGAATTTTATTTTCAATAAACTTAAAAAAAATGCGTATAAATTTGATTAACTGAAATAGATTTGTTCGTTTGAGGCCCCATAATGAAGTTGCGCCTAGGGCCTCCAAAAGTATAAATGCGGCCCTATAAGCACACATACCTACGATGTAGTTGGGTGAAATTTTCCAAAACCGGAAGTGTAAAACATTTACTGATGTTTCGTGTAACGCAGAACCTTATAACACTCCGAGAAAATACTGCTCGGCATTCAGTCAGTATCCATTGGTAACTTTACACGTAATCGGTGAACCGTCATTTAAAATTCAGAAAAATGATAGAGGCAACATTAACCAGTTGTGATATATACGATATAAGATTTCTTACATCAAAAAACTTGGATGGAAGCGATGCGATGGTACGTAATATTAGTATTTATTAGATAATTTGTATACTGCATTCTAATATACCGATGAAACGGCACACGTGTATAGAAAATATTTATTTGCTGTGCGCAATAAGGTATACTCTCTTAATAATATTAATAAATATTACTGATATCTCATTTTGACTTCTAAATTATTATTAAAATATATAAATTATTATTATAAAATATGCTTATATTAAAATTATTAATTTTTATTTACAACAGCATACCAGTCCCAACTATTCTTGCGCATACGTTGTAATAAAAACAAACACAGGACATGAAGGATATGCTCCTTCATTTACTCTGGGAAAGGGAACTGACATCCGTACGTATACGTTAACGTTGACATGTTAACACGTCGGAGATACTTGGGAATTATTGGGGACCGCTAAACTTTCCGTTCTAAAGACCGTTTGAAACAAAGAAATTTTTTATTTTCCACTTTATAATGCATTTTATATGTCGTACTTTGTTCTTCATAATTTTTTTATAATTTTATATAACTTTACAAATATATACTATAATAAATTTTGTAACACGAATAAATCACGTAAAATCGGCGCGGCACGGAACGTGTAAATAATGTCTCCAGTACATTATTTTTTCATCGTTAATATTAATTTTTATAGTTGTGTTAGCGATTAAGACCATATTTGATATCATAAAAAATCGTACAACAACATACATTTATAACAACTTCGCGGAAATATGGAAAAACTTGGCATGCCACCCGCAACTCCGTTGGGTAATGTATAATGAAACGAGTAATATATAATTGCACAATTAAAACGTACGAAGACTATTGAGATGTAATTTGATTATTGTAGCTTGGACCAGAAAAAGGTATAATACATACAGCTACAGGAGCTATTGTAAACGCATTGTGGGACTTGTGGGCACGTCTAGAGAATAAACCACTCTGGAAGCTTCTTGTAGACATGTCGCCTAAGCAGCTGGCTTCCACTATCGACTTTAAATACATGTGAGGCACAGCTTTTGTTGCAAACTTACTTTTGTCATCCATGTAGATTTTTTCAATACAAACTTTTATGCAGTTCCGACGCGATAAATGAAGAGGAGGTGATAGAAATGCTTGAGAAAAACATGCCGCGTAAAGCAGAGCTGGAGGCAGATTTAAGAGAGAATGGCTACCCCGCGTATACAACTCAGGTCGGATGGTTGGGCTACAGCGATGAGAAAATCGAGAAGCTTTGCAAGGAGTATATGGATCTTGGTTTTACGGCTTTCAAAGTGAAAGTCGGTAAGGACATAAACGATGACATTAGACGGTGTGCCATGGTGCGCAATACGATAGGCGATGAGAATCAATTGATGATGGACGCGAACCAATTCTGGGAGACAGATACGGCGATCAAGAATATGAAACTATTGGCACCATTTAAACCCATTTGGATAGAGGAGCCGACAAATCCCGATGATGAATATGGGCACATTGAAGTACAAGTGGCTCTAAAGAAGTTAGGCATCGGATTGGCCACCGGCGAAATGTTCGAGAATCGCTTGAAGTTCAAGTCGTTCTTAAACTTTCGAATAATGGACTATTGTCAGATCGACGCGTCGAGAGTTGGCGGGATCAATGAAATCTTAAGTATATATTTCATGGCAAAGAGATACAAGAGTAAGTTTATAATTCCAAAGATTCAATTTTTAGATTCTAAAATCTCGAGGAGTGCTTTTTTAACGAGAGCATCGATTTTTACTTGAGAAAGCAAAATATAATATAAAAATCTTTTCTTCTTTGTAGTACCAGTATGCCCCCATGCCGGTGGGGTGGGTTTGTGCGAAATGGTTCAGCATCTCCAAATGTGGGACTATATTTGCTTGAGTCAGACCAAAGAAAATCGTATGATAGAATATGTAGATCAACAGCACGAACATTTTGAAAATCCTGTCTGCATCAAAAACGCCTGTTATATGCCACCTACATTGCCTGGATACTCAACCAAGATTAAGGATGAGTGTATCGTCGAATATGGTTATCCAAGGGGCACAAAATGGCAGGAGCTTAGAAGATTTATGCTTCCTACTATCCCATACGATCAGCTCGTAGACTCTATCTTTGACAACTCTGACTATATGGAGCTTTACAACTCTCCCTACACATCTGACGGCTCTGACTCTGACGACTCTGACGACCCTGACCGTCAACGAAGCCGTCCTATTGTGAAATACTCTTTGGAATACTTACGCGCATAAATTAATTGCATGATGAAATCACGCTATAAAAAATATGCGCTGGTGTTTTGCATCAAATATATAGCGAGAAAAAAGTACATATTTTTATAAAACATTTATACTTGGTTTAATATAAAAAAGTATGTAATATTTTCTAATTCAATAAACATATCTTATTAATCTTTGGCAAACTTTATAATCATTTTTATTCACTTACCAATTTCGCTCTATTTAAAAATGATTGCATTATTCTTTAATTGCTGCCAGGAAAGTAGATAGTAGACTTTAAGACTTATAATAATACACCATTTACATCATTTACAATTCTCCAGACGAGATTTGACATAGTCTGTCTGCAAAAGAAGATGGCGATGTAATAAAGATTATAGTGTTAAATAATATCAGCAGTAAATTTTTATTCTACTTACACTCACAAAATAGTAAGAGTTGGGATGAAACATCATCTTTTTCATTAAATTCATATTTTCTATTGGTGAAATAACATGTAGATGTAAATGATCGACTGTATTAAATGGTGGCCAATGAAATCCTGTTCGCGTAGATGCTGGATTCAGATCCATCTTTTCTGATATAATGTTTACTGTAGCGACAATCTTATCGACTGAAAATTAGATTAGATTAGATTTAAGAACCTGAGATTTTACTCAATTATCAATCTTTAGATTTAAAATATGTTATTTATACACAGAGCAGAGAGATATCTTTAATTTTGCAGACATTTTTTAATTTACAAATAAAACAGTTAATAAATACTTTACTACTCAATAATGACGCGTGTAACAAATAAATGTTGCATTCTATAATTGTGCAATTATTGATTAAAAATCAATATATATATATATCTTAATGAACATAAGACTGTAATACTTACAAAGCTCAGAATCTTCAGACTTAAGTACTTTTGCATTGCGTATATGTTTATTCGGCAATATTAAATAATGATGTGTCGAGGCTGGATTAATGTCTTTAATGCATGTAACTTCATCATCCTAGAGCAACAAAAACTATTCTATTATTTGATGATATTAAAATAATACTATGACATGACAATGTTATGAACATGTACTAAATACGCAAAACTTACACATTTACACATATAAAATAAGAATGTATGGCTAATAAATAGAATTTAAACTTGCTTTATCTGACGTTTTTTTTTTTTAGAGAAGTGCCTTCTCTCTTTACTAGCTGTCAAAAGCTCGTTTGAGGTTAACTTTTCATACCTCGTAAATTTTTTCCCCAGGTTCTTCATTTCTAATAATTTTACAAAAAATGCAATCTATTTCTTCCTGAGCCATCGAAACTTGTGCGAATTAATGGACGAATATGTCGTTTGGGGAATAATTTTAAATGTTGAACTTATTGTGCACTATCATTTACGGAATCACATGCACTCTGACCAGCTGAGTGGGTGTGTGTTTCTGATCAGCTGAATCACATGCATAGACACACATTCATTGCCTATGCTAAATAAGCATATGAGAAATAATCGAATGCATAAATTAGAAAATAAAAAACCAAACAAATAAAAAATAAAAAATTGTACTTTTTGACATAGGAAAATAAAACATTGATGTTTCATATATATTTATCGCGTTTTTATCCTGATGTGTGTCTTCTACGGACATAAATATTGATGTTAGAATATTGTGTTACGAACATGTACAATTTGAATTTCGTTCGTGGGTCAGTCAATCTCGCACTGTCTTATTGTCAGCTTTGCTAGTTTAATTTAATTCTAGCCGAAATTTAGGAAAATGAGAGACATACAATTCGACGATGTCAAAACGTACGATATAAGATTCCCGGCGTCAGTAAAGCGCGCTAGAACAAATGTACAGGTAATACATTAAATGTTATTAAAATGATTGTAATTGACAATTTATATAAAAAGATATATTCTCCATCATTATTATACTTTGATAAAATATCGAGTATATTAAAAAATATAAAATATTTGTATTTATATTGTTTTAATTACAGCTAATTGCACACACAGTTACTACTAATTTTTTAATAATACTATTCAAAGTACACTTATATAAAATAAACTTTACTTCTCTCTAATTTTTTTGTAATAAATCACCGCCAAGATTGTATTTAATATTACAAATTTTTTTTCTATCGCAACAGGTGACTGATTTTGATCCCGATTTCTGTGGTGTATATGTAATAATTGGCACAAAAGATGAAAACTATAAAGGGTATGGCATCGCTCTGGTAAAAGATATTGATACTGATACTGATAAAGATACTGATAGACTTAGTATGTATACATATATATGTAATATAACTCGTACATACATTATTTCTCCGCTGCTGATAGTAATTTTTTATAGTGGAGAGAATAGTTGAATCTATGTTTCACGAAATCCTGAAGGATAAAACAACAACAAGAATCTATAATGAATTAGGAGCAGTCTGGAGAAGTTTGTCAACCATGACACTGCATTGGGTAATGTATTATAAAATGAGTGATGAGCAAATATATATAATAACTAAAATATGATGATTAATAAGATGTGTGTAACACGAATATCGTAACTTGTAAAGAAATTCAATCATCTACGTCCAGCTGCAATAGCTATTATAAGCGCATTGTGGGATTTATGGGCGCGTATTGAAGATAAACCGGTCTGGAAGCTTCTTGCAGACATGACGCCTCAAGAGCTCATTACTACTATCGACTTTAGTGACGTGTAAGGCAATATTTTTTTTATCTGTGCATGGAATTATGTTTACACGTTGATAAATATAGAAATTTGATCAATGTTGAATATTTCTGCGCAGTATGGATATAATAACTCCAGAAGAGGCGTTACAAATGCTCACATGCGAAATGTCCCTCAGAGAATGTCATGAAGAGTTATTAAAACAATACGGATGTTTCGCGAGTGTAACTGGCATCGGATATCACGATAATCTATCAAAAAATAAAGGCTACACTTACCAAAGAATTCGCGATCTTTGCAGAAATTTCAAGAAACTCGATTTGTCGACGTTTGAGGTGTACGCAGATCGAAATGTAGGAGGGAGCGTAATAAGATGCCTTGCTATAGCTAAGATGATGGGAAAAAGACGTGGAGCTTGTGTCTGGAGAAAACCAAGAATAGTGTTAAATGCGAATGAAATTACCTGGGAATTGGAACAATTGTCCAGTTTTTTAGAAACATTATACAATATATCTAGACGGACTAAGATTAGGAGTACACCTTATTGCATAGAACTAGCTTGGGCAGCATATAAAACCAGATCAATACAAAATAAGATGAAAGGAAGTGACATCAAAGCTTCCAGCGGCGAAAAGTGCGATAGTCACTTAGAGTTCAAGGAATTAGCGATATCTTGCCTTCATAACATTTGGCAAATTAATATAGGAAAAGTTGGGCTTAATGAAGCCCTAATTATATATTTGATAGCACACAAGAATAAATGTAAGTTAATAATCAATAGCGATTGAATTTTAACAATTTTAGCGTCTCAGAGAGCAATTCTGTAATGCATATAAGGTTCTTACTTGAAAAGTGTAACGTGGAAGTTCTTTCATTTGCAGTACCAGTGTGGTTACATGGCGACGGACTGGGTCTGAGTGAGATGGGACAGCACGTTCAAATGTGGGACTATGTATGCTTAAATCGCGCTAATGAAATTCGTTTGACACAAGAGAACCCAGCTTACTTTAATAATCGTATAATAGAATTCGTGAACTATCAGCACGGTTACTTTGAAAATCCTGTATACATTCTGAAGGGCTTTTATATGCCGCCGACACATCCTGGATTTTCAACTAAGCTTAAAAAGAAATGCACCGCGAGATGGTCTTATCCAGATGGCACACAATGGCAACATTTGATTAAGATAAAAGATCTGAAAAAAGGTAAAAAGAAAGCTGAATTAGAAAAGGATGATAGAGATGATATGATACGGCAAAATCCAGTGGATGAAAGTGATAAATGAAAAGTATATTTTTTTTCTAATTGGATGAATTGTTAAGATATATTGATTTTGTTTAGTCGAAAGATAAAATATTATATATTTTATATTTTTAAAGGATATAATTAAAATAATGATTCTGGCAACCTCTAAAATAAATATTTTCATTTCTGCAACCACATTCCGTTTATAAGTTGTTGCGTAAAATGTCCGTCTTGCTGTCAAGAAGTTACAAGTAACAAGTAAAACTATAAAAATAACGCTAATTTTCCAAGCAAGAATTCAATGACAATTATTACGACGATTATATTTGTAATTTATATAAAACCTTATTAATTACACGCTTACACTAAATACTGGATATTTGGAATTAAACATTATTTCGCATATTGATAATTTTATTACGTTAGCGTTTGCAATTTATTCTTAAGAGCTATTAGAAAAGAAAGCTTAAGAAACAAGTTGCATTATTTTCGACGTTTATGACTGAAATAATTGTGCAGTGAAAGATCAGGAGTTTTAAAGAACTGAATTACTTTTTCAGATATAAGAAATAACAAAAAAAAGGGAGGTAAAATGTATTAGATTTAGATTTGATTGCATTACTTTTTAATTTAAAATATATAAACTGTACATATATATATTTATAAGTAGCGTATATCTATATGTATATTTTTATGTAATATAGTAGGTGTGAGCATGATAAATTAATAATGTGTGTAACATATTTATACGAGTGGCAGTTGAGCTGAGGGGGAAATCTTAAATTTTCCTACGAAACTTGGTAACAGCCGTATTTATCTACGATTCGTAAATATTTACCGCTTTACCTTTCATGTGAAAAACTTCTCTCAATATTTTTGTTTCTCTGTCAATAATACGAGGAAAACAGAAAACTCGATGACTCAAGAATCAATAGTCTTCACTCTATCAGTCTATCGTGCAGAATATAACGTTTCAAATAATTAGCGCATACGCGCTGGTCGCAAAACTTCTCCTGCCAAAATTAATAACCAATGTCTTCTTACAAACGTAAATTGTTCTACTTTCAAGGTACTGCATGCAACGTAAATAAATAAAATCTGCAATCTTCGCGCCGAATGAAGTGTGAGCGCCGAGAAAATATCTTTCGTGATTTCTTTAAATCACACGCAATGAATTTTGTGTCCTCATCGCCTCAGTCATTTGCAATTACAACGAATCATTTTGCGTCATTGCGTATTAAAATTTTATGGACAGCGTTAATCACACGCTTACGATCGCCGAGCAAAATCGTAAAAAGCATTCTTCATTCCGAGAATTATGCGTGCGAGATGATCAATTTCACAGAGATGCAAAATCAAGTCTCGAAAGCACTTCCGCAAAGCTGCCGCTGCAAATTTTCGAAATTATCGCAGTCGATCGATAACGGCTAAACGAATGGTCGTTACTTATCTTTTGCGCGATTTCAATCAACTGATACTGTCGTCCGTTATAATATCTATCTTCGCCCATCGACCCGTTAGGTGACTTACGTGCTAAAAGTAGTTTCCGTTGGGGGGCGACATCCTCCCCCGGTTTCTGTACAGTGCTCTTTTTATAAATAACTCTTATAAATTATTACAATATAACCTACCTTTCTTTTCTTTCGACATAAAAAAATCATACAATGTACATAATTCTCGTTTACGGCGATCCGCCTTTAATACTGCGGGTAAACCTTTTGCCTCTCCGTTGTTACGTTGTGTGTGTGTATTTTTGTAATGGCATTTCTCCGATCGACTTTTAGTTTCTTAGAATTCCTCTCGCGCATATTTCCCGAAGAGTTGCTGCTTAAAGGAGCGACGAATCGAAAAGTTCGGAGCTTAAGCTAACTTAATACTCTAGTAAAGAGGTAAGTTTCAGCTGCCCGGGTAAGGCATTTGATCCGGAAGGGCGGAGTGATTCTGATTGGGACTCTGATGGAAATGTGGACTGCTGCCGTCTTGCGAAATGTCGCCGACGACCGGCTCCTCGTATTTGCCTCGTTTGAAACGACCGTACAGTGACGAATACGGTAGATTATAATGGATTGCCGCTTGATTGATGCTCATGTGCCCTAATCTGCAAACCGCAAATTGAGGAGCAACATTAATAATGCATATATAAGCCAAATATTATATTAAAAATTTGCAGGAGATTCATCGCACGTTCTAAAAAATCGAAACACGCAAAAAATTATAAATTAACATTTCTCACAAGAAGTTTACGTACAAGGAATAAGATATTTCAATTTAATTCATTATTATTCAAAATTTAATTTCAACTTTATCTTCAATTAATTAAATCCAATTAAAAGTACTTAAATTTTTAATTAAATCGGATTTTTACAATAAATTAATCTATTTACCGTGTGTCGATCCCTTTGAACATAGATGAACATAAAGCAATAAAAGGATCTCTATTCATTACCTAACGGCTTCGAGAGCTTCTGTCATAGCGTCTTCGCTCCATGGTGTTGGATTGCTTCTACTAAGCTCGATTCCCTCCCGTTTGCATCTTCCGTACAAAGTACCCGTGGGAATGCCGAATTCCGTCGATGCTCTTTGCACAGACGTTTGGCCAGATCTTATCGCTTCTAAAGCGCGATCCAAGTCAGCGGGTGTCCACGTCGTTGGACTCGCGTTGAACGGTGCGGCCAATCTGATGCCTTCTCTCCTGGCGATCTTGTACAAGGTGCTCGAAGGTATGCCGAATGCCTTGGATGCTTTATTGGCGGAGATGGTGCCGGTACGCAGCGCCTCCAACGCGTTGTTCAAGCTCTCGTCGCTCCAGGACTTCGTAGGGCCATCCTTCTTCGGGGTGTCGATGCCTAGTCGATGCGCCCTTTGCCACAGTGTCGTCGAAGGTATGCCGAACGTTGCTGAAATATTAGCAAATTTATCCATTTGTCCAGTTGTTTTATTCAATTGAATTACTGTTGAGAATCGTATACTTTGTTTTCTCACCTGAGGCTTTCGTCAGGCTCATGTCGTGATTCCTCAACGCGTCCAAAGCCGCGTCCATGTCCTCCTGCGTCCACGACTTCGAGCCGTGATGATGAGAGCTAGGCTGGCCGCTGTGACCCCGCGAGTTGTTCTCGCCGGAGTCCGAGTGGCCGGAGCTTCCCGACGGCATCAGTCCGAGCAGCTCCGGCGTTATCATCATCATGTTGTCGCTGTCGGCGGCGTTCTTCGAGCTCACGCTCGCCCGATCCGACATGTGGCTGTCTATGTCGATCGTGTCCGAGGAGTCCATTGTGTGCAGCGTCTCGAATTTGATTTTCACACTGTCGCAATTCTGAATTTCTGCAAACAGATGGCGGATAAGAGGTGCGTGACGCACGTCGGCGCCTCGCATCGGGAGAAACGCGATAACTTGCGATCGATAATTCGATCGATAAACTTTTGCCACGGCACACCATCGCCGAGGGACTCGTGAAAGTTTACGCGACGTGGGGCTTCGACGGTACCTGAGGATCGATAAGCGAGCGCTGTCGAAGGCGAAGCTGGACGCGGAAGGACGCTAAATGAGGTTGCGTGGGCTGCTTGCTACGAGCCGAGCAACGCAAATCTAATCGCGACCAGTTAAGCGTGATTAGGCCAATTATTTTGATTCCCTGTCCGCCTAATGAGCGGCTGCACTTTCAGCCCGGTAGTGTTTTGCCCTCACGTCCGAGCGGCAAATATAAACGTACGACGTTGAATGGACCGAGAGTAAATGGGAGGACTATCACGCGATAAAATCAGGCACGGCGGAATTGTACAAGCTGCGCCACCGGAATTGTACATATTTTTTTTTTTTTCAGCCATCGAGACGAATGAAGTTCATAAGGGCGCGACGGGTCGTTCGTGAAGGAGCGATCGGCAGGCGTAAAATTTTATACCTGTAGAATGATGATCGGAATCCCTCAGGTGGGTGATAGTGGTGCCGACCAAGGTGGCACTGGGCGGGGTGGGTTGAGTCTCGGGGGGCAAATCGACCTCTCCGGGATCCGGATGATGGCCATAGTGACCTAGCCCTGTGTGACAGAACATGTCACCTTTTTATTCGACGTGAAAAGGGTCTGTCCTGACGGATTCTGAAAATGGTAAATCGCCCCACACCTGGTATTTTGCGAATGATCGCGCGAGCGCTTGCTGTTTTTCGAGTTTTATCACGAGGCATTTTTCTACGCGAGGCAAGGCTGCGCTTTACACACACGGTGTGAATATTGTCTTCGAAAAAGACGACGGAAAAGTGACCAGATCAATAAAATTGTCCGAGAAATTTGCAAAGTTGTCGTAAATTTTTATAAAGAGCTCTTACAAAGAAATACGCTTTTCTAGTGAAAAAGATCATTCGAATCAAGTGATAGATATTAATACCTGACCGAATTAATACCTCATTTGAATACTAGATGATAATTAATAGAGATAATTATTATTAGATATTATTCATAGATATTATGAGGTATTATTAATAGAGATGGTCACTAAAATATATCTTATCGGATTATATTATTCACATTCATGAATTAGAAATTGCAATTTGACAATTACATCGTGGATTTTCGTCAAAACAATTCAATAATTTCGCGTGCACAAATTAAACCGATATAATTACAGTGCCGTCGAAATACACAAACCGACCCGAAAAACGTTACCATGAAGAAATTAGATAAATAAAAAAAAAAAAAAAAATCAAAAGAACCAGGTGTGGAGCGGAGAGCTCGATAGATTAACTTACCGTTGTTGTTGTTATTATTCGCGCCGTTACCGTTGTTGTTGTTATTGTTATTATTGCTACGCTGACAAGTTTCCAATGCTACTGCTGCTGTTGCTGTCTCCGTGCACTCTTCATCTTCGGCCTGCCAGTCCCGATGGTTCTGCGGAATATCCGGTACGAATTTAGCGTCGACCCTGACGAAGATCGAACCGCCGCCGACGCGGACTACCGCGTTCGCGCCGCTTTCCAGGCGCGTCTTTTTCAACGCGCCTCGCAAGCGGTTAATTCTACTAGTTTAGTTTGGATAACGCGGTCAGTTCTGTGGTTTTGGCCCTTGCGATAGAACCGGCGGTGCGTTTCGCATTTAATCTCGCAACGTGTTTTAAAGCGCGTCTCGTATTCACATTTGCATTTTTAACTCGAGCATAATCCACTCGTGTTATAATAATATTTTTACTCCATCTTACAAAGTTGTGAGATTTCGTTCAAAATTAAACGATTGTGCCGTGATAACGAAATAAACTGACGCCCCCTCCGATAATTTTCGATTACAAAAATAACTCGCGGAGATCTTTTGCGAAATTTCGAAACCCTTCGGGTTCTTTTCACCGCGATAAATCACTACGTTGTGGAGAGAATAAAGTATCTCTCAACTCTGCCCAGCGAACTCACCTCTTTGTTATCGCGGCTGTAATCGCTGTTGGCCTCTTCCTCTTTGTAGCGCTCGTAGTGCCTCGGATCGGTCGCACGCGGCTCGAACGCCGGCCGCTCGATTCTGGGCCGTTTGTACCGCTGATGGTGTTTCTTCAGCTTCGTGTAGTTCAACCTCGGGGTGCCGGAATCTCTCGGCGGCGAGCTCAAACTCACAGGCGGCGGACCGTCTCTGTTCTCCGGCACCTCGCACAGGCCCTTGATCTTCAGCTGGTCAGCCGTCTTCAAGAGCGACTGTGGAAGAAAACGTCGTTTCAAGTCACCGTGCAACCCGACGTATCCACGTCCGAAGCACGTGATATATTGTGAAATTTTCTTGCGAGTAAGAGATAGCGAGCGAATCAAATTCATTTAGAATTTTGATAAATTTACTCAACTCACTTCTTGTTACTCTTTTTTTTTTCTTGCACTTAAAAGTCGCCGCGAGCCGATCCACTTTTAAAAATACTGATTCATATTTATTTAAACTAAATTGTCACGAGCGGGTGATTAATTCGCTAATTATCGCGATCGAATGAGCGAGAGACGCGGCCTTGTGTGCGAAACGCGCGCGGAAAGGCTGCGCGTCGGAGGATCAAGGCGCGGACGCGGAATAGAAAAATACTCATTTCGGTAAACCGCTTTGCGAGAGGCGGACGAAGGACCGCGCGGGTCCGGTCCGATTGGATTTGCATATTTCTCGCGCGAGCTCGTCGTCCCGGCATCTCGTTCCGCCCGGCGGCGGTGCAATTTCATCTCAGCGGCGGCAGAGGTGGCGGCGACGTCGAGCATCGTCCGTCCGTTCACACACAAACCCCGTCGCTCCTGAAAATCAGCGCTGGCGATTCGGTTTTCGACGCGCGTTGCAGCATGACGATTTCGATTTTTTTTTAACAATTCGGGTCTTGCAGAAAGACCATCCGAGAAACTGAAGAATGATCGAGGCCGCCTCTCAGCTTTAACTCGAAATATGTTTTGAATAATTGAAGATAAGAGACGAAGTAGTTTTATACATTTAGGACTGAAAAGTTGAAATTAGCCGCACATATTTGATGAAGTACAAAGATGTGTTCGTAATTTGCAACATTATAACATCATTATAACATTGAAGTTTAAAATAATTAATAATCATCTATTCGGATTTGTAGAAACTTCCGATTAATTTTTATATTCCGAATTAGATAAGCGAAACGCTTCCAATTATGTAGAGCTTTTAGTGAAATAAAAATTCTATCATCTAAGGTACGGCACACGTCAAAATTCAAATCGAATCTAGGATAATGGGACAATTAGAAGCGCGTCCTCTATTTCAAGCGATTATTTCCTCGTCGAAGAGCGAGCGTCACGAATTTGCGATATACACTCGCGCAAAGTGCGGCCGAGACCTTGAAAACCCGGCGCGAAAGCGGAAGAAAAGGGAAGTTTAAGAGAAGAATAAACGGCGAAGCAGAGAGGAAGTGAGGTCACGAAGGGAAGGAGGATGATGGACGCCGCCACTGCACCCGCGTGGCGAGAGGCCGTCAAGTCGCGTGGCTTCTCGGGGCGTTCGATCGTCCACGTGGCCGACCTGCACGAACGAAAAACCTCGGCTCGGAAAAATCTTACAGATGATGACCGAAGTGCAAGGAGGAGAGGAACGATGATACAGACGGAGCAAGGGCAGGAGACGTATAGTGAGGGAAGCGAGAGAGAGAGAGGAGGAGAGAACTAACGGCAGCGACCCTCGCGCCGAAGCCGAGCCTCTCTGTTCTTTAATCAAGCCAGGGGGTGGCACGATTAGGCGGGTCTGCGCGGTTGCCGGCGGCGTGAGAGCGGCACCGGCGGGGGTGTAGTGGCAGGAGGGGCGAGGGAGGGGGAGGGGGGAGGGGGGT